TCAAGCCTAGGGCAGAGCTCAAGGCTTGGAATCAGAAGAAAGAGATTCCTTTAAGGGGATACGGCCAGGTGTCTAAAAAACCACACCAGACCCTGGCCTGTCACCTAGGGGGTGCTACCACTGGTTCTGAATAAACCTGCTTAAAGAACTGACTCGACAGATCTTAGGTAGCAACACCCTGCTCAGAAATGTATCAACAGAGATACATTAGTTGTGTGGAGCCCTAGGCGAGAACCGGGGCCTAAGCCAACTCGGAGAAAAGGAACGAGGCTGACAGCACGTGACCCTTACCATACAGGATTTTAGAAAGTGTGCAGAATGCTTAGCGTGCACACTTACCACAATGTGGATTGAGTCGAGAGGCGGACTCACCCAGTCTGCTCAGGACCGGCGAGCTCAAAGGGACCCTCCCGCAGTGAGGGGAGCACAGCCATGCCCGGGGAGATAGATCGCAAATGGGACATCAGAAATGGGATCCTGCTAGAAGGGGATCACACATTTCTAAGGGAACAACAGGATCCCAACATAAAGGCAACTGACTAAGGAGGCGACAGAGACGGACCTAACACTTAGTTCGTTGCAAATGGGGTCCTTCGGGAGCAGCGCTCTCAACTCTCAAGCTGAGGCGAGCCCTTACAGCACATTCTGGGAGCGACTCATTGCTAACCCTCATAGAGAGGGGAGTGCTTCTCAGCTCGACCAGAAGGGGGCACTAGATTAGAAGACGTAACCCAGCAGGGCCCAATAAGAGACAGCCCACTGGTGCAGCTGGACACGGTCTCATGCTCTCTTTCTCGATAGAGAGCGTGGGTCCCGTATAACCAGACCCGATAGAATCTGAAGAAATAGCAGGACCCAATAACCATTCATGCGTATAGAGCTTACTACTCCTCAGAGCAGAAGCACAAAGGAGGGGTTTCCCACAGAAACACAAATCCCTCTTACCTCAGGGAATGCAGTGTACTCCACATATAGAGCTTACTGCTCCTCAGAGCAGAAGCACAAAAGAGGGGTAAAGAACTAGCAGTAGAGTAGATAAAAATGGATCGTACTCCCCAACCATGGCTCCCGCGCATGACTCAGGCTCATGATATAGGCTGGAGGCGAAGTCCGAAGCCTGGACCTCCGTAGAATGAAGGATTTAAAGGCAGCCGAACGCGTCTTGGCCTCCTTAAATTTCATGACCACCATCTCGACGTAAGTGCCGAAAAGCTCAGAAGGGGAAATCGGCGCATCAAGAAGAAAGCTCTTCTCTTTCGACCCAATATCCACCAGACTCACCCACAGATGTCTCTCCATAACCACCATGGCTGCCATTTTTTTGGATCTGCCAATGGCAGTGGTGGCCTGCTTAGTGGCACGGAGAGCAAGATCTGTGGTGCGATGTAACTCAGCCACCTCATCAGGAGATAGACCCTGACCTTTATTCAGGTCTTTCAGCAGATCAGCCTGATAAGCCTGAAGCACCGCCATGGTATGCAATGAGGTATCATGAAATTTTCCAGGTTTTAAGTGCTATAATCAGGTCCCCGGTGCATCTACCAACCAAGGAAACGTGAAACGTGTTAACCCAGTAACTTTGTTTTGGTAAGTCTTTTTCTGCAAGTGTCTGAAAAAACGAGCGCGTCTGATTTCGCTCCCTTGGTGACGTGGTAAAGGGATCTCATTATAATATTACCGCCCCTTAATCTGTAAGTTTACACCCACAGCGCCGTCATTGTGATTTCGCAAGCGACAATGGTGTACCAGCTCTAATGCCATGGTGAAAGTTTGAGCAAAGCATGCT